TTTGATAAGAATAAATTTTACTAACTTTCTTGTATGCCACATGTGAATACTTTAATAGACCATTTCCCAATCTGAATCTATACGGATGGATAAAGAACTAAAATGGGTGTCGGAAATGTCTTCTGTGCTTACACAATGAATTGCTCTTTAAAACATGGCAGGCGAAGCTTAACAACACAAATTCAGTATCCCAAGCTAAACAGTTAGCCATCAGAGAAGCTGCGAAATTTTCTAGGAAACAACAAAACAACAAGAAAAAAAAGCGTTATAATTTTGCGACATTGCCTCAGACGTACAGACAATGATCGGACTGAGCCGTTCGCCAATAATAAGAGAAATTCAACACTATTTCCCTGAAAATACTCGCCACAACGATGATCGCCGGTATCGATTCTATGTTGTGTCAAACTGGTTCGACCCATGTCAGAAGAAGAGAGGGAGAAAATATTTTAAGTTCTTGAATGACACATTCGGCAACATTTCTCTCTTCATCGCTTAATTGTGCACTCTGCAATAACTCCGATGTAATGCTCTCTGAAGACACGGATTCTGAAATGTTATTGTTTCGTTTAACGCTGGTCACTGGAGTACAAACCGCAACCACATCACCTTTCTTAATAACTCAGTTACATTGGAAACTCTAACCGGGATAACGGTTCTCGATAAGTCGACGAGCGCTGAGGCTTCTACTACTTCTTTCGAGTTGTTACAGTTCTTGGGATAGTCTATGATGCCATAGCGGAAATTTCTATTTTCTGCTATGGATACAGGAAGTAAGAATTCTGTTCTTGCTGGTATTGTGATATCGTCTTGAGCTATGATTTTGTGGATTTTTCACTCCTTCATCATTAATTCCGAATAAGGCTATGTCCTCAGAAGCAGAATGCGGTTCGTTATTTTTAAGGGGAAAATTGTATTTCCTTAGAGAATCCAATCCGAGTATGCAAAGATCTGTAATTTCTGCCACATATGCCCTATGATGATAGGTGGCACTTCCAAACGTGATGTTAACGTTTACTTTTATGTCGATGTCGATGTTCTCGCTGGACACAATCTGGAGGGTAATGCAGGGCGGCGTCCAGATTAGTTTAACATCCAGTTGTTGAGCCGAATCTTTTCTGATGATGGAAACTTTGGCTCCTGTATCGATGGTCATATTGCAGGGAACTTCATTGATATGCCCCATGATAAAGAGATGTCCCATGATGAAATGTGAAGCGCTTTAAAATGGGGCTTCTCATTATCTGGCAAACCTCCGCCCCGCGAGAGGCCACTAATTAGTTTCGCTCCTTGCTAATGGGGGCGGTCTTAACTTACGTGCCGTGGGGTATTCTGCAGTTCTGTTGCATGTGGCTGTCAGCACCGCAGTTTCAGTATTTGAGGGTTTGTTTCATGTCACTCCTATTCTGCCTCAAGATGTCTAGTTAAATCGTTTAGACGAACAGTCAGTTGATCCACTGGCTCTTGTACTTGAGCAGCTCTGACTGGGTGATGATCTCTGCGAGTTACTTGATGGGCTACCTCGAATTTCATGGAGTATACCAAAGCGCTTTTTAACTCCTTGACAACCGCCATTCTCAAAGCTTTCTGTATTTCAGGATTCCGATGCCATCGATGAAGAACTGCAAGAACAGGATTTGCCTTGTCTGCCGGGCACTCCGAAAAGGGGAGATGAAACAGCCTTTCAACATCCGCGGCGAGCTCCTGGAGTGTTTCTGTGGGCTTCTGTTGACGGGATTTTAATTGAAGCCTGCTGTAGCCTTTTAAGCATTTCTCCCCGAAGCGCAGCTCCAACGCCCCGGATTGAGCTTCGAAATTTAACAGCTTCATAAAATTAGTCTGAAGGATATCTGCTGCATCTACTCTCACCGAAGCGGCGAGATGGCAGGCCTTAGCTTGGCCTCCATTCGCATTCTCCACTATAAAAAAATTGTGTAATACACTTGCCAGGAGGTCTTCCCATCATATGTGGATAGCTTCAGAGACGGACGAGCAGGCATGGTTGAAAATTTAAAACCCTCAGAATTGCTTCCTGCTGTTGCCATACACTTCTTTCAGGTGTCTTCTTTGGCGACAGCAGTAGAAATCCTCTCATCAATTTGTTGTTGGACGGCAGAAACTCTTCCTTTGATTCATTGCTCCACAGCAGAAACTCTTTCTTCTATTTCTTCCTGTACAGAAAAATCTCTTTCTTCAATGCGTTCAACATTATTTTCAACAGTGTCAATTCTGCCTTCCATAACCTCAGATTTATTTCTATTGTACAGGTGGTCTCTCCTTTCAATTCCTCTTGACTTGCTTTCATCGCTACTTTAACAGTTTTCATCTCTGGCCAGCTTTCATCTCCTCTTCGCCCGCTTTTATTTCTGCTTTAACTGAATCTTGACCAGCTTTCATTTCTTATTTAACGGAGTGGACGGCCCCTTTCATCTTTTCTTGGAATGCAGCGAATGCAGTTATCAACTGCCTTAACTATTCTTCCATCGCTCTTATGATTGGTATTCAATCCCACTTCTGACATCAAAACGTGTTGTCAGCGTACGGGTTCGTAATAGATTAAATGAGCAAATCCTATAAAATTAATAAAATTTATTTTTATCAAAAGAAATATAACAAAACGCTGGAATTTTCTTCAGAGGTATTCTTACAAGTGTTCACAATATCAGGCACAAATAATCAGTAGAACCTAAATTCGTTAAATAGAACGCAATACAATCTGTAGCTATATTTTAAACTACTAAAAACTTTAAAATACAACACAGTTCAAAGAGAAAGCTAATTCCGTTCGCACGGAACTAAAACAAATCGCTATAACAGTAATTAATCAACTGAGCTGATATGTTCTCTGCCTGGCTTTTATAGCTTTTTTAATTGGGTGCGAGAGATAGTTCTAGCAACATCTAGACAGCAAAAAGAGTAGAATTACGATTACAGCTAACATAGTAGGCAATTACATTCATTCAAATTAAATATAAACTACCGAAATAAGCTTTTATTCAATGTTAAATGCACGTGTTCTTGTATTTTTTCCCGGCCTATCTTGCTCTTAAAATATGTCTCGTGCTGCATTGCACGGGGAAATAAAGCAACTTTAATTATAATTATACTAAAAATATCTAACTAAACAAATCATCTGGAAAGACTAGACCTAATTAACAAAAATCAGTTCGGGTTCAGGAAAGGGCACTGCAACCCACCAAATATTAAACCTGTTTGAATTTTTTTACCAGGAACTTTGTAAAAAGAATGGAGAAGCAGCATGTTACCTCGATTTTGAGAAAGTCTTTCATTGATTGTAGCATGCCGGCTTATTGCTCAAGTTATCTAATTTTCTCTTACCCAACAGTTTCATACACTCATTCACAGCAGAACCTACGTGAAGCGTCGTATGTTTCAAGTAAGATGCGAAGATGCTCTTTCCTCAAGGAAAAATGTCTACAGTGGAGTCCCTCAGGGCACGGTTTTAGGCCCAAAATCTGTCAACATATTTATTAATGACATGCGTCTTCCATTTTATTCAAACATATTAAAGTATACGGATGATACAGTAATACTGACAAGCTCAAGAATCCCTCAAAATGCCCTCGATAAGTTGCAACTACAAGTTAATAGCATCCAAAAATGGTGTCAAGATTGGAAAATAAATTTAAATTCTTCAAAATGCTGTGTTGTCCTATATCGTGGATACAGGAAATATTATCCAGTTGACTTCAACATCAGAATTAATAACTATCTGGTCCCTGTGATTGATTTGTACAAGGACTTAGGAGTATATGTTGACAAATCTTTAACTTTCAAAGAACACATAAACTACGGGATAAATAAAGCTAATAAAGAAAATTTAAGTTAAATCTCCGCACTAAAAAAACTCTCTACATTACCTTAATCCGGCCAATGATCTTATACGCAATTCCTGTCTGGGCTACAGGCAGTAAAACTCATAGACAGAAAATTAACGTCCTTCAAAATAAAATGCTAAGAAGTATTGTGAACTCTCTATGGTTCATTCGCAACTTCGAAATTTATGAAGACCTTGATATTAATCAAATTCATGATCAGATACTTATTAGCGCTTCTAACTTATTTGAGAAAATAAAAAACTCGCCAAGTGCAGCAATTAGGTATTTAACCGACTATGATCCTACAGAAGAAGATGTAGTAAAGAGACCGCGAACTATCCATCATATCAAATATCAAATATTGATTATTCAGATTGTTAAGCAAGAAAAGAGGAAAAGGTAGATTAAACAATATTAAGCGTATACTATTGTTACTAATAAAAAGCTCGGATCATTATGCAGAGTTACTAAAAATCTTGCATGTATGAATTATCCAAAATGTAAAGATCATTTATTGGAACTGAGTTGAAACATGAAGGTGTCACATTACAGTCTATTACTCCAAAGTATAGTTAATTACAAAAAAATTATAAAATATAAAAAATAATAACTTTTTAAAATTGTACTGTTATTTTTAGATTCCAGTTTAAAAGTTTTAAGCTGAAAGATTATGACAGGCGTATTAGTTTAAGGATTAATTTGTAGAAATTTAAGATACTAGCAGAAAATGAAATAATTGCCGTGATATGCTACGATAACTTAATGCTCCAAAACATTTTTTAATTATTTAATTATTAACATCCAGATGTGCGTTATTTTCTCTGAATCGCTTGCACGCGACTGAGGCTTCAATTGCATGTTTCTCATAAGTGAAGTAGTGAATTAAGAACAATTGATATTTTGGCCAGGGCACGCTTTTAGTCCATTGAGAACGATAATATCTTCTTAGAAATGTCGAAAAAAAATTTTTCGATATTTTTTAAAATACTATCTAAAGTCAAAATCTGTTTCGTTTATGTTATGGAAAAAAAAAAAAAAAAAAAAAAAAAGGAGTAAGGGAAGAGGATTTGAAAATTTCGATTGAACTTCTCAATAACTGCAAACCTAAACATCTACATCTAAACTCTTATTTAGAAAAATAAAATTATCACAGTATATTACCATTGGCTGTGATCTGTTCTTTAACTTCTTTCATGATATCTTGTTCGAGTTTTCTCCTTTTCTCCTTCTCGGCCTGCCACTCTTTTTCCCTCTTTGCCCACATTTTCTCAAGCTCCTCTTGATACATTTTATCGATGTCTTTTTCAAATTCTTCTTCTTTTCTTATTTGATCTCGAAGGTACTGTAGATATGCTTGCTGTTCTTTCATAAGTGCCTTCTACAAAGAAATTAGATGTGTAGTTTAGAAGAAATTTATCATTCCTTAGTCATAGCACTTACTTTGCTAACTGCTTAACAGTCTTTCAAAAAAAAAAAGTGAAAGAAATCAACTTCAGGATCAAATGTGAAATATGCTACGAGAACTAAACTTAGTTTAGTGAAAAATCAGCCGGGATTCGAACGACGTATCTTCCAATTGCTGGCTGGGAGTACTACCACTTTTACACTACGAGATCCTTCACGAGGTAATGCGACAACTCCGTATAAATTATTTTTGAAAAGAGGATTATCAAGATCATATCCTAACACAATTAGTTAATCCCAAGTTACGCAGGTCTAGTAAATACGTTACTGCAGATAACACTCGGAATGCGAGCCACTCGAAGATTCGCAATGTAATTTACAGACACTCGACCACATGCAGTGAGAACTTAAAGAATAAGTAGGTAGGTAGGTAGGTGAAAGAAGGTTCGGAAACTCGGGCGGCTTGCATATGCTAATCGGGTATTGTCCGGATCTCGCAACTATCTAGGAGTACACTCCGAAGTCAAGACAGTAGATGGCCATACAAGGGAAAATTATAATTTTTTTTTCTGTATGCGAAATTAAACATTCTCCCGGTTACATCGTATGTTAATACACTGCTATACATTTTATAAAATGCATTGCATCGATCATTGCACTATACTTAAAGTACATTTACAAAACTCGTTGCTACACTTCAATATACAATTCTATGCTGAACATTACTCTTGACAGTTTAACATAGATTCCGAAATAATGTAATTGATTACATAAGACATAACTTGATTAGCTGTATAAGACATAGTTTTTGATGCAATAGGTTTGAGTAAAGCTCAAAATTGCCCATTATAAACAAATTACACACAGAAATACACGTTGGTTACTTTATGCTGTATTTATAATAACCAAAATAAGGAATAACTTAAAGGATAACTTAAACTTAAAGGATAAATAACTTAAAGGATAATGTAACACTAAATTTAAAGGTAAAGAGTAGTCCAAGACTACATAATTCAATTCAAGCTAACAGATTCACCCAGAATCTACCCGGTAGACTAATAACTCGGAGGCAAGAATGCGTATCCGATATGAAGGTGAACAGCCAGAAGAAAATAGTAACATGCGCTCACAATAGCAAATCACACTCTTCTAAATTTTTCGCTCGTATAGTTTAAATACTTTAGTTCACCCTAACTCATTTACATCCTGGCGAGAAAGCGCCAGGTGATAAGAGAAAGCGGGAAACGCTCACAAATTAAAATAACTATTAGTAAAATAAATAAAACCCTACACCCTTTGTGAAGTTTAGTTCATAATTCTCAAGTAAGGCTGTTTTCCTTAGTTTATCTTGATCTTCTGTTTTTTGGGTCAAGAACTCTGAATACCGAATGCTATAAAGCAGGGGTGGGCATTAAGTCGATCGCGATCGAGCGGTGGACCACCAAGACATTTTGAGGTGACCGACTTTATTAAAATGCGCATGCTAAAAGAAACGCATTTATGGAACATCGACGCCAGCTAGACTGGAGAATCGGATTTTCACAACGGATGCGACTGTGTTTACTTAAGCAAATGATTCAGTGAGTGTTGAGAAGGCCCGGTATCTTCATTGGAAGCGCACGATGACGTCTAAGTACATACGTCAGTTACAGATTCATCAGCTCACGTACATTCTCTGCTCGCTGCATTGAATACGTCCACGCTCCACGGTCTAGCAGTCCCTAAATTTCTTCAAACATTCAACTTGACAATTTTGTGTTACTTGTGTTTTTGCAGTAAAAATAGTAATCTGTTATATTTTAAAAGAGAGATATAATGTCGAAAACAAGCTTTAAGAAAAGAAAAACGTACAATTTCCATACAGAATGGGAAGAACAGTTTTTCTTTAAACGGTGAATGCAAAAGTTATGTACTATATATGTCATGCAAGTGTGGCACTTCCAAAAACGGAAACGTTGAAAGGCATTTCAAAAGCATGCATGGGAGTTTCGATACAGATTTTTCGTTAAAATGCGAAATGCGTAAGCAAAAGTTAAAATAATTTAAATCGCAATAAATCAGACAATAATCATTCACTTTATTAAACCCAATACTATATCTAAGGCTGCAGGAGCTGTCTCTTTTCGTAAGAGTCATGTGTTAGCAAAACGTAAGGAACATTTCGCAGATGAGAAATGATAAATAAAGCGTATTCATTATTTGAAAGCTCTAAAGAAGAAAACACGAGGTAAAGATGCTTACTTGGTCTTCAAAAATTACATACAGGAGAAAAACATTCGTTGAATCGATAACAACTGATGGGACCCCATCAATGACCAGCAGTCAATGGATTTTTTTTGGCTATGGGTATCAGAGAGGATGACATACCGCATTTCCTTTCTTATCATTGCATTATTCACCAACAGGTCCTCTGTTGTAAAATTCTAAATATGCGTCATGTTATGGGAATTTGCATGAAAACTGTGAACTCAATTCGAGGAAGAAGTCTTCAAAGAAGAATATTTCGGGGCCAACTAAAAGAAAACGAATCAGATTACTGGTAATTGTTATATCATGTAGATGTTCATTGGTTAAGACGTAGTATATTTTTACAAAGATTCAGGGACCTACTACAAGAGGTAAAAGATTTTTTGGAATCAAATGAAAACGTACGTGGAACTTAGCGATGACGTTTGGTTGATGGATTTAGATTTTTGGTTGATATAACAAGCCATCCTAATGAACTGAACTTGTAAATGCAGAGAAAAAGTCAAACAATTGTAGAATTGATAGGAGTTTGATTGGGTACTTTAAAAAACATGCTAAAGCTAATATCTTCTAGTTGTTGAAGAATGAACTAAAAAATTCCAAAAAATATTTCTGACGAGTTGTTTAAAATCGGAGGTACATTAAACAAAGAGAAATATTAGGATGGAATAATAAAACTTCTTTCCGAATTTGAGAGACGTTTCCAAGAATTGAGTAGACTATAACCAATTGTTTCAATCATGTGTTACCCCTTTGGCAATCTTGATGTGGAGAACATAACTGAAATTGTAAATTATATATTCTCTTTATCTCTTGAGAAAAACGAAGTTTTTCTCCTTCAAAATGACATAATTATAAAAGCAGGTAGCTCAGAACTTAAGATAAGTAAAGTATCCTAATTTTAAAGAACGTTGCGTTTCATTTAACATAGTTCTTTGGCTCTACTTTTGGCTTCTTTGGCTTAGGCCGCATGTCATCTCGACGACGAGAAGTAACGAGAAGAAGCTTATTCTCCCATTTCTCATTCACTAACAGCCTAATAGTCCCTATAATATTGCTTAATCAAGAGGCTTAACGTAGCAAATGCACTCTTTAATAATTTGAATCTTTATTTTTCATTTTTTAATAAACCATCTCACAGATGTTATATAAAATGCGCTTAATTTGTTATTAAGGTCGACCAAAAAAAACCTGCTGGATAATGTCATTCGCAACAAATAGAAACAACAATTACAGATTTCAAAAGTACACGACAAAAGAAAAGTAAGATGCTTCTAATGGATTGATCAACAATTCTGCTGTCAAGATCGAGGCACACTTAAAGATGATAAGTGATATAATGACATGCATAGGCCTATCGTTCAAAAGGAATATTTTTGAATGCCTCGGTTTAATCGCTTCAAAACGTCGATTTTTGAATATGAGAGTAGATTTCATCTGTAATCTCAAAGGAAGGAACCTGCTGGTATGAAGCTGGGACAGCAGGCTGGCCGTTCCACAAGCCTACATCTTTCGATTCATTGGACATCCATTCTATATTCGCTGATATTGCTTGTTAAACATAAAAAATATGTAAAGCAAAATACTAAATTTGACCGCCCAGACGGTATAGTGGTTAGTGGAGCCTGACTGCGATACCGAAGGGCTCGGTGTCGAATCCCGGAGAAGGCATGGATGTAAATTTGTCTGTCCCTTCATAGGAGGTAACGATGGCCACCTATTAGGTGCCTCCACAATAAAATGGCCACTTCTGGCTTTAAGAGTGGCCAAAGTCGTTATAAGCAAGTGCTCGCCATCGGAAAAAAATACTAAATTTAACTTCAATGGTCCCTTAATTCTTTGTTTTAATTTGGCTATTTCCTTTATCCTTCCTTTTCATACCACTGGATGACGTAGCTAATTCGAAACGGAAACTCAAAACTATAAACGAAAGCCGAAATCCTTTTTAACCAAACCTACGAAGGTAGGATGACACAGAATATGATGAAGAATGGATGCTATCCTTCATCTTTCAGTAGTGCTTCTAACCATTCTTTATCTTCACTTTAGCGTCACCCAGTATATCCATTCCATAACTTTTATGAACATCTGTTATGGATAAACGGATTTTTGGAATAAAATTTTACGTACCCTTTATAAGTTCATTAATATAAAATAGCTCTCTATATATTTATTGTTATCTGTTTGTTATTGTTCAACACAAAATTTGATTGTACCCCAAATTTTTTGTCAGTTAATTTCTTATAACAGAAAGCTACTGTGTACATGGAGAAATATATATATGTATACAACTAAACTGCACAGTCCAGACTATAAGGTATTTTTCCCGCCTTCTTGGCATGCCTTCGTGGTGTGGTGGTCTTCACGCTGGGAGCGTATTCCAGAGGTCCGTGTTTCGATTTCCGGCGGAGGCGTTGCTAATTTTTCATCTTTCCTGCTTCCAAAAAATACCTAATGTCTCTACAAGACTCGCCTTATTCAAGGTTCGTCTATATTTGAAATTAACTTAAATTATTAAATCAATAACAATTATTCAGCTATTATTTTCTTGAGTTAAAAAAAAAAAGTAAAAGTAAAAATTACTTTCTTTTCATTCTTTCTAGCTTCTTCCTCGTCATCCATGATCTGCCTCAGGAAGAAGAGATCGGTCAGAAGATCGTCTTGAACTTCTTTTGTCTTCCGCTTTAATTTTGCCCTCAGACATTCGCTCAAATCGCGTCGAGTTTCTTCTTGCTTCCGTCGCCGGCGCTCCTTCTCGTATGCCTCTTCAAGATCAGCTAATCTCTTCTGTTCTCCCTGCATCGTAAAAGAACTCATATTAGGTAGCAGTTTCAAGTTCTTTCATCGCCCTAAAATGACTAGCTATTATTAATAGTTTATTATCCAGTTTCTTCTTTACGTTAAAGCCACGACCCTTTGATGTTTCTGGACTTGTATATTGAATAATTGAGAACTTAATTTGATTTGCATTCACGAGTTATTTTTATTTGACATTGTTTGGAAAAATTTGAAAGTATGTCATAATTAAATTTCATATTTTCATCTTCAGATATCGATTACGCTTTGAACATTACCTAGCATTTTTCCGAATATGTTTCAAAACTTTAAAAAAAGTTTTTTTACTCTAAAATATAGAAACGTCAAACAGTTCCTGTAAATACCGTGGAGACTCTTACAAAATTAATCTTCTCAATATTTTTATCAAGAACGTTTTTAGAAAATATCTCAAGAAAATGGTAAAATTTCCGAATTCTCACTTCTGGAAAAATTATGTAATTTATCGAGAAATAGGAAGTTTTCTGAAAATTCGATTGCAAAGTTTATAAAATTGTCTTTCCAGTTTTGTTTTTATCTCCATCTCTTTTTTACTGTCTTCCTTGGAATTTAAAAATTAGGGCTTGATAAGTGTGTTCGTAGCATTGTGGAAAGATTGCAATCAATTAATCAACGACTTTAAATAATCAACGAGAATCTAATTAATCAATAATCACAGCGATTTAAAAGTAATATGTTGCCATTACTTAGAACACAATACTTTTATCGGTACTTACGTAATATCGCATCAACCAGCCAAGCAGCGTGATTTAGGCTAATTACGGACGCCACTATCTTTAGAATTCCTGAGTAACCTATTGGTGAACTGGCGAGCGTTGAGGCAATTTGCACCAGTGGTCGATGGGATATACGTAAGTACAATTTTATATTCCACGTACCAGTAAGTTACCTTCCAAATTCAATGTGTCCCTCACTGATTAACAAGTTAAACAATTTAAAAACAATAAATGCAGGTTTTAGAAATATTTTCTTTTACTTTTTTTAATAATATAAGTGATTGATTTAAATAAAAGTGCGTTTTATTCATGATATATATCCGTAATAATTTTTATAATCACTTACGGCTTATTTTTTACTTCCTTGTACAACGTAAAGGAAGTATTCTAATCACGAAAAGGTCCAGGTACCATATTTCGACGAAAATATCCATTTTGACCACTATCGAATGCAATTTAACGATATTTTTGCATGACATCTGTACGCAAGCACAGAATAAAGGACTCTTTTTCCCCAAACGGGAATTATAAAACTGATTTAAAATGAATTCAGTAGAGATTTTTTCGTGGCGTGTGAACGTACGTACATATTTACGTATTCCAACACCAGATCTTTCAATTATGCGTCGGACGTGATAGCCGATAATTATATCACAACTTACCATTTAATATCCAACACACTAGCAGATTATATTTTAAAATCTATGGCGTTTTTGTTAATATGGTAACAATAGTAGACAAAGTGTATTTAAAAGCGATTAATATTGTGCACGGATTGAGGCAGAAACCACACTTGTTGCATATTTGGATTATTTGAAAATGATAATTGCTATAAAGCTAATTACTTTCCAGTCATCTTTGACATTTTGTAAACGATCACTATACTTACGCAGCACTCCTTAAGTACTTAAAAAAATTAAACTCTTTTATTTATGTTACATTCTGAATAAATTCACTATCTTATCGAAACATGTTTAATGTATCCTCCATAAGAATACCAACAGGAAATGTGTTATTTAAATAAAATATCCTTAAAAAGTATATATGACATAATTGGATAATCTCCTATATCCAAAATTTAACAACTAAATAATTATGCGCATTGAAACATCAATAACTGACACTACAGTACATTTTACTTCCTGTTACTGATACCTGAAAACTTGAAGTATTTGTGAAGTACTGGAACAGAAGTTTCACTGAGTGTTACTATATCCTTTACTAAAAATCTGTTGCAAAATAGAAGTTTGGCAGAAATGGTTTTGATTTTGAATTTAATATTCTAATCCAAATTTCTGTCACATCATTTTACTATGTTCGAGTCCTTTTTTTCATAAGTTAATCTTTTCTCGAAATCACTGCACTTATCAATTCGCAAAAGAGAAAATTAATTTGCTCCAAACTTCAAAGCTTTTCATTTATCGCCAAATCAGATAGGGGCTGAGTTTTTTACTAATATTCTTTGGAAATTCTTGCTTTCGCATTCATCCTAACTTCTACCACGGACATCCTGATTTCTACCATTTTTGCGGGGAGGGAGGGTTTCACAAATCACAAATCGAACTGTTTCACAAATCAGGCGAAGACGAACGTGCATTTCATGTACGGACCTGAGAACAGGCATATGAAGGAAGCTCAAGGACTGCACCAGAAAGATTCTTGACAGTTTTAAAGTCTTTGAGCTATTACAAGTATCCGTGCGAAGCGAGCTTCATTGTCAACATCTTTGCGGGTTGCAGAGCTCCCAAAGAGTGTAAAGATATCCGTGTTACACAGGGAATTCTGCATAGGGTAGAACTCATAAAGAATGCGTCACTCAATCCATGCTGTAAGTGTGCTCTAATGCAGTGGTCTCAAATTGGCCACTTGGCCCATATATTAATTAGCATTATTATAATAAGAAATTAAAGAACAAATTTAAGATTTTAATGATTTAGAATCCAGTTTCGCATTATTTTCATAACCAAAAACGCATGTGAGCAACGCCCAAGAAAATCTATAAATGAAGCTAATTAATTTACACTGTTATATAAATCCTATTCAAAGATTTAAAAATGTAAATTTGATTAACTTTCATTGGTAATTGTCAAAATATAAATGCGAATTCTTGCAATAAAAATATTCGCTTTGTTTGGAAGTACATTTACATGAGAACAGTTATTTTTTTTTTTTTTAGTTGAAAATTAATAAGAAAAGAATCAAATTGCCAATGGGTATCTGCAATTCACGAAAAAGATACTTTCTAGTAATTTTTCTCCAAGATTACAAACTTTAACAAAATCACAAGGTATTGTAGCTCAAAGTTGTAGTAACAAATAAAGAAGTTTATAATCATTTACACACAAATTTACTATTTCTGCATGCGTCAAAGAAAAATGTAATAGATGAAGGAAAGAGAATATGTTATCATTATTTATTCCCAAGTTTCGTCCCCCCTGAAAAAATTTTGTAATTTGTTTATTTTTAGTTTATTTAGATTACTTTAATGTATTAGAATTATTTGAATAACTGTCGATCTGAAAATTTAATATTTAGTTGTCAATCCGTTTGAATGACAAATGAAACTAACAGAAATTTCTTGCAGATACGAACCTTTAGATTTCAGAAAATATAAGCACAAGTATAAATTTTTTTTCTCTGCGTCATTATTATTGCTATTTATGCATGTTTTTGACAAACATTTAGCCAAAAAAATTTTTTGTTAATAATACATTTTTTTCAATTGCGTAAACTGCTTTCAGAATGTGCATTTGTCCCCTACGTGTAGTCTGAGTTTGAGACTTCTTATTGATAGTTTATTATGTCCTAAAAGACAAACGATTACCCAATTACCATGCACAGAGAGTGCGTGGCTTGATATTGCAGCCTCATTTGTGCACTGCTTATTTCAAGAAACTGCAGTGCAACAGCATTTTCTGCACATGTCAAATTCATCAGTGAATAAATACACTTGCCAGAAATTTTGATAATCATAATTCTCATCGCGTGGGCAACCAGCAATCCCTACGACAAGCTGAACAGTCTTCAGCAGTGGCGTTTCTTAAAACACGTCCAAACTGGGATCATCCAAGAACATTTGATTGGCTCGTATAGTTTATTAGACTAGACAGAAGAATGTACCAAGTACAAGATATCTTGACAGAATTACTGAAACCTCGTCCAACAAACATTAAAACACGAATTTGATTTCAAGCTACGAAACACTACCGTATTTCCCCATGGATATTTTCCAGGACAAATCTGAAACCCTCTTTAGTTTCAATGAAGACGTTATTGGTAAGACTTTTATTGCCGCTACTTTGATTGCCGCGCTATTTCTGGAGACATGCCAGCTGTTTTCGCCAATATATGCCGATCATTGCACCAGAGATGTAAAGCCTGCATTCGGATTGTTGGTCAACCTTTTGGGCAGCTTCTGTAATTTTTTACACTAAAATTTGTTTTATATTTTGACCAAGTTTTCCATTTCTTCTTCCAAGTTTTTTTATAACTACTAACCCCTGTGGCTTCACTACTTGAGTTACGTTCATACATTGTAGGATGAAGACTGCTTGTTTAAGTATGTTCGATCAGTCCTTAAAATTTTGTCCAACTGTTTTGAATTATCTCGTGTAAAGCGTATACATGAGCAAATCGAAATTTATCATGCAATATACAAAATAGAATCATTACAAGTAAGTGTCTTCCTGGTGCCTAGAATTTATAAATAGAAAACTATTTTATTACAGCAGGGAAATCCAAGGCTGTAAAATCTGTAAAAATTACGCTTCTCACCATTAATATGGCATCATTTTCCTTTTCTCGGAGCGCCTTCTGTTTGTCTACAGCCTTTTGTAGAATCTGTGCTTTCACAAAATCTACATTCTCCTTGTCCCTAGCTTTTTTTACCTCCTCTTCTTTCTCTTCCCTTTGGCGTTTGGCTTCCGTGTCCTGGACCCACAAGTCTGCATACATGTTTTCTTCACGATTTCTCTCTGCCCTCTCTCTTGCTGCTTCTTGTGCAATTCGTTTTCCGTCTTCAACAGTTAGTTTCTGTATTTTCCGACTCATAAGGTTTCTGAGTTCATCACAATTCCGCCTAGAGTAAATATTTAATGTGAAATGAAACATGGACACAGAAAGTATCACAAAATATACAGAATGCTTTTGAATCTATAATAAGCCATGGCTTGAAAAATTCATAAGAAATTTTGACTTTCTTTTCATTCCCTGCATATTACTTTACGTTACTTTGCTTTAAAAAGTTTCCACTTACTCAGATTACTCACACAGCTTTTTTTATATCAAATAATAAACATTAACTTTAAGGACGAAATCTCTAAGATTTAATGGAAGCTGTAAATTTCATATAAGGAGAAAGACGTTTATAACTATCAGCTCGAGGATTAATAAATGTCGATCAGTCATCTCAAGGATTGTCCTTTATGGTGGAAGTGTCATCCGTTAAGCTGAGTTTCAACATTTGAAGGTGTTGCATTACGGGTGCCATCTATAATATTAATGAGAATCTCCAAGTAGTACTAGATCCCCGTGCTTTACCCTCTCTTTCCATACTCCTTTATTTTATCCGCTGAAATAAAAGTGTAAGCAGGCTTGGAGAAAGATACAGTGATTTATTTTCTACTCCAGTTAATGCGTAAAGTTTACTTAAGACTATATGTTAGTAAGTATCCTAAATTGTAAGTTACATGTACAAATTAATTGCGATTTATTTAAAAAATTCTTTATATTATGTATATGATTTGATTTTCTATATTCTTAGAGTGAAGGAGCATTTTAGTTTACAGAAGTGTATAACAAATATAGTTCCTTCATCTGTCAGCCATCCCAGAAGAACCTAAGTCGTCTCTGTATCTGAACAGTCTTAAGTTAAAATTTGAGAAAGTACATTTATATAAAAACATTAAGAACAGGATTTTTGAAGAAACGGGGGGGGGAGGGAAGGGAACTTGGAATTTGATTTTCTATTTCTATAACTCTAAACAGCCTATCAATCATTAAACTGGCATTGCAGACCAGAACTGTTATGCAATAAATGATTTATTTGTTTCTTTTTTTCTCCTTTTAAATATAATATCTGCTTTTGTCCGTCTAATGTTTAAGTTTCTGTTTTATCAAGCAATAGCATAATTCCCTCAGAATCCATGATTTGAGTAGGGTTTCAAATAACAAATTGCATGCTTTATTTAAGCGTGAAAAATAACTCATAAATTTAACTCAAGTATGTGTAATTTTGCACCTAAAAGAAGGAAGAGAGGGAAGTAATAACTAAATTCTTATGTCTGACTTTTGGGAAAAGAGGCAGCATTAGTTTAAAGTAGAATTTGAATAAAATTTTATTGATTTCGAGGACAATTATCTTCTTTATAATTTCCGTTTACATTGGTTCCAAAAGCAAAAAATATTTTTTCCAAAAAAGGTTAAAATATTCTTTTTTCTTAAGAAAAGAAACTTGCTAATCCATTTCCAAACAGTTTAATATTCATCTCACTAATAGTTTGACGTATATCATTTTAAACGACTGAACTAATCTCAGCATTAACAGGTTGTTCCCTTTGTAGAGACTCATTAGGCATTTTGAAACATGGAACATCAACTGTTTCCTCACCAGCTTGCAGAACAGGGACTTCTCATCTGCAAGCTGGATGTATTAAGCACTCAAACCATGACACGCATAAAAGAAAACGAAAATTTCTTAGAATTTCACAGTTTTGTAGGGAAAACTGCTTGTTTAAAGAAGCTAATTTGTTTCACTCACAGAAAAATGTTTTTCACAATTGATAGAAAAACTCGAAATTTTTTACTGAAACATTAAATCACTTAAAATAGTCATTAAATTAGGTTTCTTCCTTACTTTTGCTTCGAAAACGGGAAAAACTGATTAAACCGAGACATCATTAGAATTGAATAAATCGGATTTCCATTGTAATTTTTTTCAGGAAAAATTATACTCTTCGCAAAAGTGAATTATATGTACAGCTGTTATAATTTTATGTATATGTATGATTATTTCAATTAAGTATAATTTCCATTCACACACCCAAATACGTACCTGAACTGTTGCTCTTCTTTCTCCTTTGCGACTTTTTGCCTTTCCATTTCTTTCTGTACTTTGAGCTCTTTGTATCGTTCGAGAAGTGCTTGAGAATCAACGACTTGAGGCACGGGTTCAATGGCTTGCAAATGTTTCTGCTCTTCAGCTTTCAGTAAGTCATTTAACCTGCATTTAAAGCAAAAATATCGAATACTCTGTCCAAATGGAAATTTGCCAGGCAATGAAATGCTGCTGAATAAACATTTCTATAGGTACTGATGCGGATAATTAAAAACAATTATACGTAATATATCACAACCATTTGTTTGCTGTGCTTAATCACTTCAGTAGTTCATGAAAAGCTACTGAAAGGAGTTAGCTCTTATGTGATTTTTCTGAAATTTATTCGGATTAAGCTAGTCACAGAAAAATCAAGTGGGGCATTGATAAGAACCCTCGATAGGAAGAGACTCAGAGGATAGGAAGAGAGATGATCCGAAAAACAATAATGTGTTTCATTTACTCTTTTTGTTTCCGAATAAAAACAATCAGTGGTTTCTGAGGCAGCATTGTTTCATCTGCAGTTGAGGACGACTTTCAGTGTTTTAGTTCAGCTCTTGATCGGTAGACAAATAAGGATATGCTCTCTCCAACGTTCGAATTCAATGACGTTACTTGCATTATACACATAGAAATTAAGACACATAGAAAGTGGGGAATAGTTGCTTTTCAGCAGATTATGGGTCAGTGATGTTACATGCTCAAAACTTTCTGGTCGAGAAGAACAAATCTTGAAGGAAAATACTTTTTGTGGGACAGAAGAGTTCAGCCATGCCCAATTTTTCTGTCTGATGTATTCCCCAGAAGCAGACTGAAACTGACTGGAAGAGGGAGGGAAGTCAAGCAAAAGAGGGAATATGCCAGGAGACTTGCCAAAGAAGACAACTCGGGAAGCCGCAAAGCCTGGAAAATAAGCTTATTCGCCAACTTGGCGTAAATAATATAAAAATTATTTTCCTACATATATATTTTTATATAGGGAATTTTTAAAAGATAGAATTCAATATATTAGAGCTCTGTCTTATATTTAAAGACATTGAATGATGAAGAATCTGCATGAATGTATGTATCTTTCTCGCACTGTGAAAAACAACAGTTCCTAGTGACATCAAATTATAAATAACGGAATCCTAAATTTGAATATGGGCATCTGGAAGCCCACATTTGAAATGTGGAATTTGTTTTATTATCTATTTCATATTTTGTCAAACATTAAAGAATTTTTTATCGACAAACCCAACGATTTCAAAGCGAGCAATGGCAACACTGTAGCCGGGGGGGCACATTTTTGTCTTCAGCACGCGAGACTGTGTATTGGAAAATCTAAAGATATATATGCTCTTTTAAATATTTCGTGATATTGCTGTTGAACTGAATTTTATGGGTTAAAAGCTAAGACCATAATATTTAACAAATAACACAAATGTTAAATAACACCCCTTTGGGCGTAATATAAAATCTGAAAGCTTTCAGATTTTTATTTTTAAATTATTTTTCTCTTTCAAAAAAGAGATTTTTAGTAACAGAAAAAGTATATAGATATATATATATATATATATATATATATATATATTCATACATATATATATATTTGAAAAAAGTGGCAGGTTTCAGCATTGGTACAAATCCAGTTCATAGCATTATTTGCATGAATTAAAAATGAAGAATATTTCTAGCCCAATGATTTTTCTTCCATTATTTATTGTACTTTCCTTGACTGTTAAAGGAATGAAAATCAAAACAAACGGAACTGCATATAAATATTTTGAACGCATTTGTAGTATTTAAAACCCTTTTTGTGTGAAAATGATTCGGCATATGAAATGTAACAAAATTACAAGTTAAAGAATGTTGCATACTAATAAATCATAAAGGAATGTGAGTAAACGTATTAAAGAGGAACAATTCAACGTTGAATAATTTTAATTTATTTTTTAATCGATTCTTGAAGGAAAGACAAAAATACTAAATTGCAAAAATCTCAGATTGTAGTTTTATGGATCGCATAAATATCAGATTTCGTAATTTTTACAAAACTGGCTTTTAAATTTAAAACCGCCAAAATATGTATATTTGCAACATTTAAAAACATTTTGGTAATCGAAAATGAACATCTACAACCAACATTTGTGGAAATATAGGCCACATAAAGACTTTTATTGAGAGGGTGTATATTTGAATCTGTGCATATTCAGAAGTCCTCCACGCATCCACAAATCCAAATGCTCTGTTTCCTAATATCTTTATACATTTTTACTCGACTAAAGTCTTGATACCGATAATGTTCTGATACGACTCTTGTGTTTAAGTCTTTCGCTTGAGTGGACATGATGCAGAAAAGCACAATTTGTGTTGTCGGCCGATCGGTAATAAAACTACACATAAAATTTAGTTGCTCAACTAGCGTCATTTCGCTTTCAAATAAGATCTATATTAGTACTTTTTATGATAAATGAAAACCATTTCAAAGAAGATTTCTACTTTTGCAAACAACGAAAGAAGAATTCAAATGTGCTCACTGTTTTATTAATTTCTTGGGAAAAACTACTTTGAACATGCCGTACTTCCACTTTCGTTATTTGTCGGATCATTGTTTGTTGTGTTAGTACGGAGTTTTTAGTAATTATGATGAGCTTTCAAAATTATTGTTCTTGTGTAAATAAACAGTGAAAGCTTCCTTCGCTTTACATTTCGACTTACGAAATGTTTCATAATAACACTTTGCATAAAATATGAGGTAACCGCAATTTAAATTTTTACTTATCTTGCATCGTTTCAGTGAGAAGAATTATAGTTTCTTCAGGTAACCGCTACAGGTACTGAAGATGTTTTGAAACGACAGCTCATATTCCAACTACAACTCTAAAGCATTTTAAATGTAAATTAAAAGTATGTTTAAAGCTTAAGTGAGAACTTTGTACCTTCCCGGTGTCTAAATTTAATGCCCTGATATCCAAAATAAAATGATTTTCGATCTCACTCATTTTAAATGCCCATGTTATTCGGACAACTTTTAACGCATAACTAAAAATTGAGCTCTAAAGTTGAAGCTTCTTTATATCAATAAATCACAATAAAATGCAATAGGATTACCAGTTTTGTGCAAGTAAGCTTTTCATTAAAGTTTTCTACAATTAATCTGTCACCTATTTTACGAATCACGAAAGGAAAAAAAAAATTCTATGCCTTTGCCGGCATTCAATAACTTCATTAGTTGGTCAGCTTCACTAGCCCGGATTTTCAATCATTCGAAAAAGGTCGGTCAAATATAAACTTCAGTATTGAGGGCCTTGAGAAACAGGAAACGATCGTTTCGCGAAGCGTATAAGAATCCTGCAAGTAGGTTTCTCATGAATTAAACAAAAAAAGAGGAGGTCTTGAAATTTGCAGTTCGAATCACTTTGAAGAGCACTAGAACACTCTTCTTGAGGAAAGTTGCATTGGCGATGAAACATGGATTACTTAATATAGCACAAAGAGATTAGGATAGTAGGTTAACAGGAAGAGTTGTCTGAAATACAAGCCGAAGCCATGGAGGTGACAAGTGGTGCAGTGAAAGGGATAATCTTGAAGAAATATTTTTATATTAAGTTTGGAAGAGAATGGAAATTAATATGGCATTGAGGGAGAAAAGTCAATAACAAAAGTTGGATGTATACATATGTTTATATATGTGTGTGTGTGTGATATTTCGAAGTAGACATGACTTGGAGATTAAAAGACAGCCATTAACGATGAGATATTACCAGTAGTTACTTGGGAAGGCTTTAATACGTAGATTCACAAGATGACATAACGGAGACAGACCTTGAAGAATACAACACATTAATTTATTTGTACATACATTTGTTAAGCATAAACGTGTTATAAAATTTTCTTTAATCCGATTGGACAGTAATTCAGCTTCATTTGTTTTAATCTTATATGAATACATTGTGTTATTTCTCCATGAAACTATGTCCTCTGCTAAAGCATTTTCCATAACTTCTCATTAGTGTTGCGTGCCTTTCTCGGAGAAGTTTCCTTCAAGGGCAACGTGACTTAAGTCTCAAACCTTTTCATCGAACACTTGAGTAATGACCCGAAATAAGAGGACTTCGGCATTTCTGTTATGTAATTAAATCATAATTTCATTGGCAAATACTTTTGATCTGGAAAATCTTATTTTAATAATAAAATAAAATTAAAAATCGATTCTAACTTCTGAATGCTTGCTTCTCATTTCCGAAACAGATCCTTGGACGGAGGTTGGGACTTTTAATGAAAGAAAATCCCTCTCTACACGTCCAAAGGCTGTGTGCAATTAATTTATGATAATTTTTGGATGATGTGCAATGAATGGCTCTCCAGGATGTTCATGTGCAATGAATTTATAAAAATTTTTCGTTCCAGCCCTGATGTCTTCCCGCAAAAAAAGAGCACTGGGGAAATCTCCTGTCTCATACTGCTTTGCAGCTAGAATTATATTAGAAGGAGGTCGAAGTCAGAAAGGATTGGACACTCCTCTCTTTGTTTTCATACCTACACATCCTTCGCTAAACTTTCCTCCATATTTTCATTTTAGAATTGTCTGTATTTTCATTATTAATGTTTTAACTGTTTAACTTTTTTACATTGTTGTGCTGAAAAAAAATTGCATATATCCCTTCAAATATATTACACTTTATATTTAGTGCTTAAATTCAGCTGGTGTCAGGTTGAGCTATTTCTTAGTTTTTGAGTGAAATTGTGATTCCTGTAAGAAAAAGTCTAGCATTCTTTTGTATTATTTAACTCTTTACCATTAATTTAACAATTTATTCCTTTATATTTTATAGAATTTAAGTTTGTTAATTGTTTTAATTATTACATACTTTATTATTTTAATTTTTAATTGCGTTACTATTTCATTAGTTATTTTATTAATTTATTTTTATTTATCTTTCTTGGTGGTGTTCTGTAGACCTACGACACTTCTAATTTTAGAAATTAAACCCTGACATTTATATTATATAATCTGTCATTAATTTCAGTTGGATTTTGCTCTCCAGGGTGAAGAAATCTAATGTAAACTTTTTCGCGTTTTGAGGGAGCATTAATTTATATTATATCTTTACATACACGTTATACACATAGTCATTGTTGGATTCACTTTAAATTTATTATTTATGGCAAAACGCACTCTTTTAATAGGATGCTCTCAATATGATCTCTAGCTCTTCAACATGATGTACCTTTGTGGATATTGTAAAGAAAAAATGGCATATATTCATGATGGACATAAAAAAAACAATAAAAACTACAAATACGCTATGCAGCTGGTCCATTCAATCGTAGGAAATAACCGGGCCCGCAATACCATTGTTTTACCCTCTTAACCTCTTTACTCTCTCAACCTTCTTTACCTCTCAACCACTAGTGGTCTCAGGGCAGTTGTTGGATTGATTGCTCAATTAATTAAAAGAAAGTACTATCTTCATAATATGATAAATACTTCTTAAAGCACGTTCTAAAGGATAGTGGATCTTATTTACGTTACGCCTCAGAAAGCCACAGAAACATTAAATAGCGAACCCTTTTGCGGTGATATGAAGCTAGATGAAAACACCAGTGTTAATAATTCTTACCCAGTAGACTACTGGTGGACAGGAATTGTTAAAAAAATAAATACAAATGATAAGCGACTTATCAGTTTAGAAAGTAAATGCTAGAAAGTGAGTATCACTTTTCAATACTAGAAAGTACGTACAAATGATAAGCAGCTTATCAGTTTGCTGCAGATTCTTCTTCATAAAGGAATAGCGAGATGGAAAAGGGGCCCTCACGAGAGCTTAAATGAATTTTATGGAAGCTGAACCACTTACTTCAATATGTTTTCATAACTCTACGTCCACCGGATTTTTCGCAGAAGAATTCTCATTGTTTCTTTCGTAGAAGAATTCCCATCTTTGCCTCTTATGAGGAGATGGACAAATACACCCATGTCTTTTCCGGGATTCGAACCCGGGCCCTTTGGTATCGCAATCGATTTCCCTAACCACTGTACTGGGGGCTTGTTTCTAGTTATATATATATTATATTGCTTAAACTCCATTCCTATATTGGAGGATAATTTTTTCATCGTTTAATGTTAATGCTCATTTATCTTATCAGTCGGTTAATGTTACTGAAATAGCCGTGTGCAAACATGATCACATTAAACGCGCCTGTTGAAAGAGATTTTGTAAAGTGGACGAGCTTAACTTTCATAACTTTGCGTTTCCCAGATACCGACACTACTTCGATAAACAAGTTTTCTTATTAAAATCGCTTTCATGAAAGTAGTATTGTTACAGATAAACATATTTGGCTGAATTTAAAAACGATTTTCTTTGGTCTTAAAAACCCAACCTTTCATATAAAAATGAAACAAAAAATATAACGTTCGGATATGCTTTACGCAAATATTAGGATTAAATACAAACATTTTCAGGTTAGTGGAAGGGCGTATCAAACAATCTTCAAACAGATATTTAAAAATAAATAAAAAACAAATAAAAATTCTTCTTGGAACCTAGTTCTACGTCTCTCCAGTTCTTCGTCCATTTTGGCTGTCACTTTATCCACCTCCCACTGGACTCTGCTATAAAGGCTCTTCTTATCTGCTGCGCACTCCCACTGATTGCGAAAAAGATCTCTGTCGTGCAGTTTTGCGTACTCGGATATATCATCAAGGAAGTTCTGTCGATTCCAGTAATCGCGAATAGCTTGAGCCTGCCGATTTGCTTTCGAATCCATTCTGCTTCCATCAGCAGCTGCTCGCTGAGCCTAGGAAAGTAAAAATAAAATACAGATTCTGCTTAAGACAAGCATGATAAAGACATCAGGAATTAATCATCACCTTTTAGAGAAGTTTTGAAACATTACTGTAACGTAAGTAGGGGTTCGTAATTGATTCAATGCACACAGTACCAACGGAAGCTTGAAAACATTTATCCCCTTCCCCCAAAAAAACCACTTTACAGTTCTGGAACTTTTTACAAAAATACTTGCATCTTGTGGAAATTTGTTTAATTTAACTAACGGTTAATTTTTGGTTAAAGCAACTTGCTTTTCAATCTGGTTTTCAGCCATGCTTTCTTGTCAGAATGTTAATAAACTAGCGCACGTGTATTCAAATGAGATAGAAAGAAGTGCTATTTAAGGGAAGGATTTGGAAGTAATTTTTGCTAGTTAAAGAGAGACCTGCTTGAGGGCTACGTTGCTATTTTGAACTACTAGCGATTAGACTGATGTAGCGTTGAGCGCTCCTAACTATTAAACTTGTTTTCACTGACTTCTACGAGTAAGAGGCGCGTTAAATTATCCCGTTACACCAAATTTACTTCATTCAATTTTAATTTCATCATTACCTGCCAGAAGTGTTGGCTTTGTAGAAGCCCAAGTGGGGTCATCTGTGAAATTATAGGGAACAAATGAAAGGTTCTTTACATCCTTTTTTCTTCTTCTGACTTTCCGTTGTAATTAAGACCTGGGGATAATTCCTCGTACAGTCTTTTAGAGCTCGTAGTTTATGCTCCCCAAGAACACGAGCAAAGGTTTTTCTCAGTATGACAGAACATAATCAGTAGTTACCACTTCAGACTACTCAAAACGTTAAACCCAACGCAATGGAAAGTGCATCTAAAGAGCAAAGCTCGCACGGAGATCTCTCATCACTCCGAACTGAATTCTGAATTAAAAACTGAGAACTGATGCTTTCTCCGTTATTATATAGTTCCCCCCCCCGGCCTCCGAGAAATTTCCAATACCATCCATTTCTCGAAATGACTAGAAGGCATCCGCAGTTACAGTTACATAGGGCCGCATATGGTTACGATTACATGGTGATAGAACCAGTAATAGTTACACAGACCAAAATTTCGCCAAATGGTCACCAAGTTTGCTGACTTTTGGCGATTTCTCGCCAAATTTGGTGAAAAAATTAGCCGCCCAAAACATTTCCAGCTTGGCTATGGCAAGATAGCCATTTATCTCGATGTTAAATCTACTTGCCCCTGTATCACTACCTTTCCGGCGGAGCTTCTCGTTTTTGAGGCATTTTATGTTACACTAGTATACCGGAAATACGACAATTTGCACATAATTTCTCTAAACGCATTTACATATATAGAAAATTCGCAACATTGTGAATGCGAAATAAGATGCTGACTCACTTCTTTTAGAATGGGCAACATACCGAAATATGGAATTTGTATGAATGTTTTTAGATGGCTCCTCAGTCATTCATTTAAAATGTATTAAAATAGTTAGAAAACTACTTATTGAGTGGTGCCAGAATGAAATTAGTTAAACAAAGAGGACATCTAATGTTTTTTAGATGATGGAGTAATGCAGATAGGCAGAAGATAGAAGACAATGGTTGTCAATAAAACTACAGTGTTTCTTATGGGTTTGTGCTAATCGAAACTACTTATCATCGACCAAATAACTTTCTGTAATTAATATATCAAGTATCAAAAATACAGAAACAGTATTAAATAGCTACATACGTTAATTGATCCATACTAGGAGAGCAAATTGGTAGTCATAAGTTTACATAAAAGGAAAAGAATTGACTAAGCTTAAAGAAAGCAATTTTAGTACATAAATATCATCTTACGAATCCCTCTCTAACCAAGAAAGCAAACTTGACTTCTGAATTCATCTTTCTACCAATTCACTAACGAAGGCACTCTTCCAATGAAAGGCACTTTTAATGAAATAAATTATTTCGATAAAATAGCGAACCATCATTTCAATCTCACCTTATAAGAACTGACTTGCTATTTTTACTTTTGCTACATATCTTTAAATATTACATTATTTTGCATATTCGAGTAGAGAATTCGTGGCGCATAAGATACAAATGGTAACAACACAAAATAACTAAGTTAAATTAAGATAAAACTTTAAACTATCAATTAATACAAATAACCTTCATTCCGTTTTTCACCTGCATGACTTTTTATTAATATTTTTAGAAACTAATTAATGTAACAACTCTGTATACAGCCTGCTTGTAAATGTTAGTAAAGTTTACTATTTTTCTTTTAGCCGCTTGTTTTATTTTAAAACTTTACTGTCCTCTCTTATTTTCCACTTCCGGCCAGAATAAACACGATAATTTTTTTATGCAGATTGTACTTGCTAACGCTTAAGTATTTAAGTTGTGGCTTTTTGCCTAGAAAAGAGTTAGATGGAGAGAAAGTGAGCCTCCTTGCCACTGTGTGCCATGCGAGCTTTCAATCAGTTGCTGTCCGCCTTTAAGACCAGAGATTTAGTCCTCTCGATATTTAAGACGTATTGTATTTTTTCGCAGTTTGCGCTCTACATACGTAATAAACTCAAAGGCCAACCTTAGTGTTAGTCATCTGTATAAAGTATCCAAAGTTAGCTCTTATTTAAATTTAGTTAGTTAGTAGTTCTTATATTTTTACTTTCAGACCACAAGTGATTGGTCTTTGTATCCGAAGTGCGGGAGCGTCTGTAATAAAGCATAGTTAAACCCTTCGCATCTTAGTCATCTGTTTTACAATTCCCACAGAACATAGCTTCCAGTAAGCTCACTGTTCCCATTCAGGACATATCATGTTCGCAAAGCTGATAAGGAGGAATAGTAGTCCTGATAGTACAAAGATGGAAAAAGAAAAGGACAATCGTGATACATCTTGTCCAAAAGTAAAAATTTTTAATTTATTAAATGCTAACTAATATAACTAGCAAATACAATTTAAAAGAAAGAGAAAAAATTAATATTATATTCAACGGAAGTACAAATAAATAAAAATTAAATTTTTCTTACTCTCGCTTTAATATAAGGCGCATATCCAGTCGCTTCGATTACCATTGGATTTGTATGATTTTGTGCTGAGAAAGCCATTAGAGTACAATTTGTTTTATCTGAAAAAAAAAAAAGAAGCAGTGGTAAGAAAATATTAGCCGGTATATTGGCCCATTTAGTACAAAATCTTTGCTATAATAAACTTTCCTAAATAACTAGCCTTTTTTACTTCTTTGCATGAAGTAAAGAAAGTACTGTAATCATGAAAAATTCCGGATATAATAATTCAATGAAAATATCCATTTTGACCGCTATCGAATGCAATTTAACGATGTTTTTGCGTGACATCTGTACGTAAGGGACAGAATAAAGGACTCGCTTTCCCAAAAAGAATTATAAAACTGATTTAAAATGGATTCAGAAAATATTTTTTTCGTGGCTTCTGTACGTATGTATGTATCTCGCATAACTCATAAACGAGTAGCTCAGAACGTTGAAATTTTATATATAGAACTTCTATAACTGGAAGTTGTGCACTTCCCCTTTTGGTTGCTATCGGCGGCATCAAAAGAATGTATATATATAATATATATAAACTCACTCTGTTATTCGGTTCCGCGAGCTAATTTTTTTTTATTCTTGTATGTTGGTAAATTGTGCAATTTTAGCTTTAAAAACGATTAAATTGTGTTGTTCTTATCTTTCGGTTAAGCTTTTTATGCCTTTAATTAACCTGCATGCAATACTTATAGAATTATGAACAATTTAAAAGTTGTTTTAGTGGGACTAGGCCGAATTTTTATACCATAGCAGCCATATTTGTTTACGTTTGAAACTTAGCAGAATAGCGGATGTTTTGCCAATCTAGAGAAACTAAACTTCGCAACAACAAAGATAACGTCTTCTTTTATTTTTTGAATTAAATCATGCTTAATCCATTCTGGAATTATCTCATTTACAAAAAGTTACTAAATTATTCGATATATTGATCAGCATAGCGTCCACAACAAATGAAGTCGGTTTTTACACCTTCAGTGTCTTTTTGCCTAGTAAAATCAAAAGTAAACTTTCAGTTTTGTGCACCGAAAAATCTGCCTTCTTGCTCGCTGCCCAAACTGCTTGTTTTTGCGTAGAAATTATAATTTTAATTGTAAAAATTGTTCTTTAAATTGTATTAACTGTATCTGTGTTTCATATTTTTCAGATTTTAATAAAATTATATTCATATTTTATGTATTTTTGCCTTGTCGCGAAGTAGAACTGAATTAATTGAAGGAGAAATATATCTGTAATGAAATTCGAGGAAATAAGTTTAAATGAAATGCAGGAAAAAATGCGTATCATTTAATATTCTGTACAAGGAAGTCATGTGGTGTACACATCAGATTCTTTTTAAATGGGATATCGTAAAATAAACTTGCAAGAAAGATATCATTTACAAATAGTGAAGTCTGAATCCAATTACTCGAATTTAGGTTCTATTCGCTGGAAAATCGATAAGCTACCAGAATCGGTAACCAGATTCTCGCAATCTCTCCTTGAGGATTTTAACTCCAGAAATTGCACTACAAATCAAAAACAAGGTCAATATTAGAAGAACTTTAACATATTATATTTGGAAAGCATACTTTTTACGAATATCAGCCATGGATAATTCATGAATAACTCTAATATGAAATTAAGAATTTCATTAACACAAGAGCCCGATTGGAAAAGTCCAGCTGGCATAGGAGGCCGATGGAAGATACTAAGGTTTGAATTGGCGTGGGACACGATTGGAAAAGACCTAAAGTGGTTCTACCATGAGAATTTGATTAGGAAGGCCAAAAGTGACACTGACATGGAAACTCGATTGGAAATGACCAAAAATGGAATTGGCATAGGAACCCGATAAATAAAGATCAAATGACCCTGACATAATAATCCGATCAGAATACATCAAGAGTGGGAACATGCCTAGAGGAGACCAAGAGCGGCACTGACATGAAAATTTGATCAGAAAAGACAACAGTGATACTGACATGGAAATCCAGCCAGTAGAATCAACAGTGACATTTTTATAGTCATTATGTTATTTTGAAGGAGGGTACGTAAAAGATATGCACTGTCTTCGCTGGGACTCGAAACCTGGACCTCTCAAATACGCTTCGAGTATGCATCTAATTACACCACGAAGGCGAGGGGAAAATATCTTATGTGATTACCCCTTTTAAAGGGCCACTTAGAATTAAGGGACCCAATCGCTAAATTCTGGTGGTGAGAAATTATCGTCCACTCCCTTTTAGTTCACGCGTCACTTGTAGAGTGATTAGGTTTATCGATGCAGGTGACAAGAAAAAGGAGCAGTACCCCTTGGCCGGGGCTCGAACTCTGGACTCTCGGATACGCGTCGAGTATGCTTCCAGTTACACCACGAAGGCATGCGGAAAAGAGGGAGAAAATACCTTATACATTAATGCGGGTATCCGGCGGTGAAAGACCAAGAATGTACCTGATATAAGAGCTGGATCAAGAGAGATCTTGAATGCCATTGGCGTAGGATCCTGACTGAAACAGACCAAAAGGAAAACTAAAATATCTTAGAAGAGAATGGTGGAAAAGGAAATGGACAAATCTGAATGATATGGATGGATGCGTAATGGTGACATGGATGGATGCTCCAGCAAATTCTTTCTAAATTTAAATTTGAGTGATCTCCAGGATTGCTTTTCCTTTGTATAATGGGCAAATACTAGCATCTCTATTCGAGATCTGAACGGCAAAGCGCTCACCATCTTCTCACCATATGCCTCCCAAACGTCCACACTGTGGGAGTACTCTGCCACAGTTACTCATATATGGTGGAAAAAAAGTACATGGATTTCAACTATTTTATTAGAACCTCCTAGTCGTCCAGTGAATCTTTGCATCAGATGTAGGGAACACACTACATCTGATGTAATAATTCCAATCAATTGTGGTATTTTCCCACATATTTAGCTACTTGTCATTTCATTTGACAGATGTCAATTCCTCTGCCCAAGAATACATAAATAGCAGTGACGAATAATGTTTTTGAACCACTGAACCAATTTCCGACAGAGGAAATTTACAATTTTTAACATTGCACCTCCAAATGGTTTCGTCTTTAACATATAGTTTCGTGTTGTGGCCATTTTCGTGTATTCGCTTGTCTGGTAAAAGATCTTCTTAAATAATGATATGGCATCCACCTCTTTATTTGGTAAATTTAAGATTGTTAACCGCATATTCACAAAAAAGGAGATATATTTTTAAAATACACTCGTTGCAAGAGTAAAAAATGAAACGTGAAGGGAGGTATCAGAACATGTGGTGACATTTCGACGAGATAACTCGGTTGATTAGCGATTCTATCTTGCGGGCCGCTATATTAAGAAAGTAGTCGAAATTTTGTGTGCTCTTGCTGATGTGAAAGGCTTTAAGCAATATACAGTTGTGACCCTGTATTTATAGTTTCAGGTTTTAAGAATTAAGTGCCTGGAAACTATTAGTGCGCTCAAACTGAAAAAGAAACATGATAATATAAAACTGAAAATTAGGCAAAAGAGTAATGTTAGTTTTCCGCAGATTTTGAATAAAACTCTAACAATTTCGAAGGCTATCAGGCACATCTCTGTCTTCTTTGGGTAGCTAAAATTTCTGTGCAAAGATTAAACTACATAAGGGGGTACAGATGGGAAGTAATACCTCCTAGCATAATCAGACATCTTCCCAGGTTCAGTATGGCGAATTCGATGGAATCGCAATACCAATAGCTGCAAATAAATAGATACCAACAACAGCGAAATTAGATACTATGAATACAAGTTAGAGGAAATTATTTTTTTAACGTCAAAAATCTGCATTTATCAAATTGTTACCAATTTATTCCTACAATTTCATTGTCACATATTATTTCAGTTTCATTTTTTTCATAGCATAGTTTCCCATTTTATAGTTTTATGTTTCTTGTTCACATTCAGATTTTCAGTTTTTGCTTAAGTTTTACAGTTCTATACATAAACCAAATAAATTAATCTAATTTTACTCCCTAGCTTTTGAAAAAACAGGAAGTTTGTATATACTTTTAATCCCTCGCAGCAAGCATCCAATTAATTAGAATATCAAAATAACGGCTCTTTCGATGATCTAAATTTAAATCCGAAACTTAAGCCTATGAGATAAAAGTGCACTTAGGTATTATTGCAACCACCTCAGAAAAAGTCACCAAATTTTCAGAAGTCACAAACTTTGGCAACCATACGCATAACAGTTCTTTAAGTAACAATATCCATTATAAGCTGAAATCCTAAAATTCGCTGAGTAACCTTTTCCTTCTGTAAAAAATTGCTAAAACTGGGCCAAAGTGACTGCGCTACGAAAGTATCAAAAACATATATGCGATAAGTTAACAATGTGAAGACCTAAATGTGGTACACATTTGTGTTATGTTTCTGATTCCCAACGTAACAAGCCTTATCCAGTCAAAGCATTATGTAGAATGTAAAGATGAAGTACCGATCCTCTGTTATGCGTCGATGTGTAAACAAACTTCGAAAGTAGGGCCCATGAGTTTCAGAAACAATTCACACTGAAAGACGCCATTTTTATTTTGACATTTGCCTGGAATGATGTTACATTAATGTGTATTACTGTTACTGTAAATTGTGTCCTTCGGTCGTAACGAGTCGAGGGGCAAAGATTCTCTTGATTTTGAAACAAGTCCAGCGCTTATGTCCTACATCCTGGATTTAGTTACATGCTTGGAGAAGACTGGTTTAGTGAAGAAGGGGTGCATGCTTAGATGGATGTAGAAGATTGTTTCTGTCATACTCTGCCCAGATGAAGACGAAATAATCGGACATATATTGGAAAGGTGAATGATGATCAGATGGGAATGAAAGGATGGAAATGAAAACGGTATGCAAAAATAAGAAAGTAACGTGGCCAATTAACCTTTAGTATCATAAAGATCTAACTTTAAATCCGAAATTTAGATCTCTGAGATAAAGAAACATAGAGGGGGCTATATCTGCCCCCCAACCGATATACCAAAGAATTATCTCGAATATGAAAATTAAATACTGATTCCTTTTTATGCGTCGTAAATTTGAAGGTAGAGTCGGTAATTTCCGGAAAAAATTCACATTTAAAGAGGTCAGATTTACTTTGTATCTTGCTTAGAAAGATGTAAAGACTCTCGCTGTAAATTGAATCCTGTGATCATGTTTGTAGAAGACGAGTAGAGTTACGAAGATTCTCGTGGTTTTAAAACACACTCAGCGCCTCTGGCCGACATATTGTATTTATTTACTTGTTCTGAGAAAGTAAGTATTAGTATAGAGAAGGTTCAGGTTTAGGTAGATGTAGACAACGCTGTTTCCATCACACTTTCTCATTATGATGAAAGAATTGAACATGTACCGGGAAAGAAGAACGATCAGAGGAGGACGACGAAGATGAAGATGACATGCAGAAGAAATTTTGTGGAAAGAAGCTGATGAAGGATTGCAGACTTTCATAAGATTTGTCGAGAAATGTTTCTCTGTATCAGCAGATCATGTTATAAAGCTTCGTAGTATACACTACGAATATTTTAAACTACGGCAACAATCTCGTATAGGAGTAGATGTTCGAAATTAAATGCCGTCACAGTAAGAAAGTCACAGCAATTGTCATGTTGTAATAAATATGACATTTTAAAAATCTTTATTAGTTTCGTTTTTCTGAAATATAGAATCAGGTCTATGTGTTTTAATTTTAAAAAGCGCGTTTTTCTCTACTGTTTACTTAATGGCGACCGACGACCAACGCGATCAAACGCGATCAACGGTCTTCGCATGCTGCAGTTTTTGCAGATGTCACCATATAGCATGAACATGTAAATTCTGGAAATATATATTCAGTTTTCCGAAAACATTTTCCGAAATCTAGGAAGTCCCATTGCTGCCTGTTAAAAGAGATACTACTGCATGCATCTATGGGAGTACGTGATAAGAAGTACATGATGTATATGGTGTTATATCCTTATTTGGTACTTTTCCGTTTTGCCGCCGCAAGCGATAAAGTCGCCAATAATGGTACAACCGATGCCAAACGGAATATTCTCGCTGGTAACCTTTTACGCCTCTTTCAGATAGTTCAGTTTTATGTCTAAGGCCATTTTCGGCAATTTAGGATGCAATCACAGCGCTTACCCGAAGCCGAAAATATAGAAAAGGTAAAGTCAAGGGTTAAATTCATCAATTCTAATGAGAATGCATTAGCGAAGTAAAGCACTGCAGTTTTACATAATTTCTGAGTAAGTTATTCGTACTAATTGGAGTATTTCTTGCATTTAAACTTGTGTTCCAAATTAAGATTTAACTTGAAATTAATGTAGATAATTACTGAGAGCATTATATTTTTGTAGAGTAGTATACGTGAGATGAGATCGCTTGGGGTCACGTGATATGAACCGGCGAAACAGGATGTTGAACCATGAAAGCATAGTAAATTCTTAAATTAATGTCTTTTTATAAATTTATTGTCTTTATTTATTGGCTTTTTATAAAATTTTAAGCGATATTAAAATTTTTATGCCTTCAAAAAAAGAAATCTTAGGACTAACATTTTTTTTAATATTTTTTGTGTGTATAATGTATGTTGTCGCCAATAAAGTCTGCTTGGCGAGATTTGCGCCGGCGAAACGGAAAAGTACCCCTTATTTTATATACAGCAAATTTCTAACCTTCCAACTATAATCTCGTAAGCAGGCAGACATCTAAACTTATATATCATCTCACTAAGAAATTAGTAATATCTACTATATGATTATATATATAGTAATTTTAAAACGTTTTATTTCATTTATTTAACTACGTTTAATTTCATTTTTTTTTTTTTTTTTTTTTTTTTTTGCTGAAATATAAAATCATTTGTATGTGTTTTGATTTTTAAAATTCTGCCCGATTTTCTATATTATTTATTTAATAATGGCCGATGGATCGAAAAATCCGGCTACGGGCTCTGCAACGGCTACGGCTACGGGCATGCTGCAATAGCAAAACACGAAGAGTTCTAGGAACATATTCAGTTATCAAGATAAATCTTTTATCCGAAATCCGTAGTTTCCATTGCTACCGGTGAAGAAGATTCTATTATACAGAGATAATTTCAGACTCAAGCTGTCCCAACTGTCATTAAAAATATTCCACAATTAAGTTGGTACCAAAATCTTACCTCCAGATTCCGCGCCGGTATTTTCATTTATGTGATAATACTTTATCTACACAAAATCTTAATAATAACCATGACGAAATAATATTTAAAAGGCATTGTACTTAAGTGATGAAAAATTATCCTTTTTGATCATTGTCCTTTCGTGTGAATTTAACCCAATTTCTAAACGTGGGCAAATCATCCAAACACTAATAATGGGAAACTCTGACATAAATATTTCATAGTAATACTGTAGCGCTTTTACGATACCTCAAAAAAATTTTTTTTAAAGTTTTTAAACCTTAAATTACTAAAATTCATTTCGCATTAATCGTGAACTAATTTTAAATGTAAAAAGAAAAAAAAAAAAAAAAAAAAATGTTTTTTTTTTCATAAAAAAAAAAAAAAAAAAAAAAAAATAGCACTTAGCTATTTAGAAATCAACTGAAAGAAAAGAATATTTAAGTAAGATATTATTTCATTAATTCATGGGTGCAATGGAGGTAATATTGCTTTGAAAGTCAATTCCAGTTTAAACAAAACTAAATGATTACCTTCAATGACAAGCAAATCACATCAAATAATTTCAGGCTTCAGTTGTGACATCCAGAGGACAGGAAAAAGATGATTTATGTATTACATATTTGTTGCCCAAAATTTAAAAAAAATGATTCATCAGATCAATTTTCATCTAGTGTCGAGGCTATGTGCAGCTTGTTAAGCAACGTTGTTATGGCAACCAAAGTTTCAAAACTTGGTTGCTCTGTATCGCTAAGGGAAGAATTCTAAGAGAAAAGATTTATGATTAAATTATCGAACAAACTCATAAGAGAAAATTAGAAATATTTTCATGGAAATCTGTGTTTTTAACAAGTATTTTGAATCATTTTTAAATGTTTCATTTTCATACAATACCTTATCCTAAAAACATTTTATTTTCTCAAGGGTTTTTCGTACTACTTATTTCTCTTTTGGTTATTTTTTTTAACAAATAAAAAGTTGAGGTGCGAAATATGCACAGACTTTTTCAAAAATAATGCTGTGCCGCTATTAAATTTTTGCATGATAATCTGATCAGCAAAAACACTCTATAACATAAAAAGCGATGCACCAAGAAAGTTATGCGAATGGGACAATAATCGATAGATGCAGTACACTGCGGGGAAAAAAAGAAAAGAAAGAAATGAGACAGTTTTTTATATCTCCCGTTCTACTGGGCCGATTGACGAAATTCAGCTTGCATTTTTTATATCTCGAAGGCGCGATCTAAGATATGTATTAGATTTATATATAGCATTGTTCTAATATAGGTATTTTGACACAAAATCGGACATTTTCTGAAATGGCATACCAATTTTTTTCCATATTTCGAGTCCACGACTCAAATTATGCCAAACTGCCAAGTTTTGTAAAAATCGCACTAGTAATTTTTAAAACATTAGCTCTCAATATTTTAGCTCCTCAGTGTTAATTGAATTTGATATATATTTATTAATGTCTCTTTTTTATTAAACTTACTTGATTCCTCCTTCCAGAATTCGAAATTTAGGCTTAATCCAAATATAATTCGCACATTTTTTATGATTTATTTTTTAAATTTCTATTTTTAAATATTTTTAAAACATTTCCTAAAAAGTTTTGTATTATAACCTATAAAATTTCTAACATCATCTTAAAGTACATGTATTTCTAGCACACCTGCAAAAATTCATAGAGTTTTAACCAAAATTTTCTAAGATATACATGAATTTACATAGTGAAGAGTCTTGAAATTTGGCATCCTTTTTTTGAGCGATAATAACGTCAAACAATAATACGCACTTTATTGAAATTATTTGAAACTATGAACGATGACTTTTTCCCCGCTCGACTACAATAAAAAAAGAAAAGGAAAATAGGTTGCTATAATTTAAGAAGTTTAAATTATACTTGGTGAAAACTAAAAAAAAAATACGCCAAGATAAATTTTTGAATTTTTCCTCAAATTTTACAGAATTTAATATTTAGGAATAATTTGAGTCGCAGAATCGAAATATGGAAAACAAATGGCATGTCATTTCAGAAAAGGTCGGATTTTGTTTGAAAATATCTATGTTAGAATGATGCTATATATAAAACTAATATATATCGTAAGTTGCGCTCTCGAGACATGAAAAACGCAATTTGAATTTCGTCAATCGGCCCAGTAGAACGGGAGATATAAAACTGCCCCCCCTTTTATCCCTCAGTGTACATGCATTGTAAACGAAACTCTAACAGAAGCATAGGCAACGAATTTTTATTCAGAAAATACAACTGCAAAAATCAATAATGTGTCGGCCTACTTCCGGCCCTGATATAAGTTGTTAGCCGACTGGGCATTGACCCATACAGTTGGCAGATGTATTCCTGGGAGATTGCTTACCATGCACCTTCCAGCTCGCGAGTTAGATCGGTGCGATCCAGGGATGATCGACGACGTCTTCTCATCAGAGCCCACACATGCCCTATTTATGAGAGAAATGGCGATCACGCCGGTCAGGAAAGTGTTGGAGAAACATGAGTAGAAGGGTGTGCTGTGTGCAACAGGCCATTATCCTGCTGAAATATAAGCCAGGGGCTAGTCAAAGGAAGTACATCACTATGGTGCATAAAATCTAGTCTACATATCGCTATACTATGTCACCAAAGAGGCTAGGCTATCAAATGAAATGGCACTTCATACCATAACTCCTGGTAATCGAGGTATGTGGCGGGCGACAATCAAGTATCAAACTGTCGTACTGGGTGTCACATGTCTTCGTTGGTCATTGGGGCCCAGTTTGAAGCGCGACACATCGCTGAAAACAATTCTACTCCAATCCGTACGCTACATTGTCCACCCACCTTGCCACCCGGCTAAGTTTGACATAGTTGTTAACCGCATTTCTCTCAACGCATATCAAGAAACTGCAGTTTATACAGACAGCTCAAATGGAGCAGCAGGAACAAGAGGTGCTTGGTGTGCAACTCATTACGACTTTGTAGTCTACACTTAACATCAATAACTCAGTATTTTCAGGCTGAGCTCGTAATGATAAAGCAGCCCTGGCATGAGAGTGACATACCAAGAGTGAGGCTTAAAGCAGCCTCCTTCTTCGTAGTGACAAAGTGATTTTTACAGATTCTACATCAAGTTTGTAGGTCATTCACGTCTTTTGCAGCAGACACCCGCTAGTTAAAGCATTTAAAAAGCAACTGCTATTTAAAAAGCAACTGCTTTCTTAAAGTCTGAGGATAAAGCTACAATGGGTACTAGCCCGCAGCAGAATCCTGGATAATGAAACAGCGTACCAGATGACGAAAAACGCAGCTGACGAGCTATTCATAAGTTCACTGAATGTATCCCTTCCTCACATCTTAAAGCTATACTCAGCATTGAACTTCTAAACAATGACCGAATTATTGAAATATGGTCATTACAGACAGAAGACTACACAGCGTGTTTTCTAATGCAGAGCAGAACTTCGTTAGCGGTTCTGCGCAATTTACTCAATACCTAACAGGTCATAGCCCAGGTATTTCTGATTTGTATCGTTTTGGCCTCATAAATAAAGACCTATGCATCTGCGACAGTGTCAGTGAAGCTGATCACTATTTGTTCCATTGCACGCATATCGGAAGAAATTCAATATCTCGTTGATGGCTGCTTTGTTGTAAAAGTTTCTGTTGAGTTTATTTATAAACTTTTTGAGGTTCTGAAGCTTAAGGTCCCTGTGTAGTTGTTCTTTACGAACGAATCAGGGTACCTCGGTAATGTTTCTGAGGAAGTTATTCTGAAACGTCTGAAATTTGATGAAATCAGTGTTAGAGGCAGCACTCGAGACACAGAAGGCATATGTGAGTATTGGGCATAAAATGGAAGTGTAAATGCGTATTTCCCGAGCTTGGTCTAATGAAGATGTGGAGTCTAGTAGATTTCTGAGCTTCCTGAAGACACCAATAGCTTTGCCTATGACCATTGTGATGTGTGCTGTCCATGTGAGAATACAGTTACACAGAATTACTAGGTAACTGACCTGGTTGACCTTTGGCACCTTTTCGTTGAAAAAAGTTGAAAGAGAACTCTCAGCTACTATTTTTCTTCTGTGGTGACCAGTTAAAAGTTATTTAGACTTTTGTGGCATCTACACATGTCTTCCATTTTCCACAACAATCTCTATTTGATGGATCCGGGATTGAATACGGGTAATGGCGTTGCTAAGTTTCAGCAAGCTAGAAAGTATCGCTGTAATGTCCGCATAGCAAGCAGTGATAACAGTCTGGGTTATTATCAAGCACGGGGAAGCGCATTACTTAAATGAGACAAAAAAAATCGGCTCAAGTGTTGACCCATAGGGAACGCCAGCTTTAATGATGTTTTTTGCAAAGTGGTGGTCCTCCTACCTAATACTGAAGGATGAGTTATTAAGAAAATACCTAACAGGTCAATGTAGTGTAAGGACTGTCTCCCTAGTCACGTCTACAGAGATAAGCTTATAAATTAAGCCGTTATGCCAGACGTTGTCAAAGGCTTTTGCCACGTCTAGCATGCGAAACGCAGTTGTTTGATGCTTGTGGATCGCAGCGCTGATGAATTCCACTGTTCTTACTAATTGCACGGTGGTGGAAAGTTTACTGCGGAAGCCAAACCGTTCGCTTGGAAGTGCCTTTAGTACTGGATATAAGCGCTTATAGATTATCATCTCTAGGATCTTACCTAATGAAGGGAGAAAGCTTATTGTTCGGTACCCATCAACTCGTGATTTACCTTTCTCCGGTTTGTGTATGAGGATTTCAACTGCGTGTTTCCACTTCTTCTGGAAATAACATTGGTACAGACATTTGTTGTAGATACCTTAAAGTCTATTAATAATTTTACCAGGAAGGTGTTTGATAGTTATATTTGAAATCTTATCTTTTCCAGGCCAAGTACTTGGGTACTTATGCATAATCCGGAGTCAACGCGAATTTTATCGGGCTATTTACGGCACCTCAGATAATCCCCGGCTGGGGTACTCGCACATACAAAACCTCAACGGTAATTTCTTAGAAGAAAACTGTAAGGAGGGAAAGGAAAGGTAGATGCTTGCCTACTTTATCGGCGATCTCATGGCAAAAAGTAGGAAGCTAGCAGCGAGGCGAGATCTGAGTGGGCAAACACGTGAATGGTCACTGCTGACCCTGGGTAGCCTCTTGAGTGAACGGGGGTATTCGTAATTCAGGAGAAACTCTAATTGGTATTGTTATAAAAATGTGTATATAAGGTTTGAGATTGATATCAACTTCTAGCAGCTCGTATTTAAAATTGATTTTGTGACTATTTTGTAGTAAAAGTTGCTATAAAGTTTATTTATGAATGCTTTCAGCTCCTGAAGCTTATAGTCTCTGTTCAGTTATTCGTTACGAATGAATCAGGAAGCCCCCGTAATTTTGCGAAGGAAGTTGTTCTGGAAAATTTGAAGTTTATTGAAATTGGTACTAGAGGCAGTACTCCAGGCGACTGACGCATATATGAGGATCAGGCGTATTGAAATGTAGATGTGTTTTCCCTGGCAAGGCCTAATCAGGATGAGGGACTGAGTTTCCTTGAGAAGCAGACAGCTTAGGCTTTAAAATGTGTGTTTTTCATGAAAGAGTGCAGTGACATCTAACTTTGA